CTGCCCTACGTCCCTTAATGTTTTGTGTGATGAGAGGTCTTTCGTGGGCGTTTTGGCCCATTTCGGGCTGTTGTGTTGCGACAGTGTCGGGCCAGAAATCGGATACCGAAAAAGGTCCGTTTCGGCTGTTGTGTTGGGCCGGAAAACGGCTACAGACAAAAGGGCAAAAAGGGGCGAAAACGTCATGTGGGGCGCCGACTGGTAGAACAAAACAGAGAGCTCCACCGGTTTTGTCCACTTCAAAGTGGACATTGTTGCGTTACTCAGGCATGAGCTTCAAAGTGGACTTGGGGCCTTGCTCCACTGCTCTACGCCTGTGCAAAACTGGAGTGAATCTTCCGCTAGAACATGGAAAGATACACCGCCATCATTTTTTTCTGTTGTGCATGTCTATAGTAGAGGAGCGACGCCCTCGGTGTACAACACCGACCGGGAGGTAGAGGGCACCTTCAACACTTTGTGTGTGTGTGTGTGTGTGTGTGTTTGTGTGACACAGAGAGAGAGAGAGAGCCCTGTTGCGCGCTGCCACATGTCATGGCGCGAATTTGACGAGAGAGAGAGAGAGAGAGAGAGAGAGAGAGAGAGAGAGAGCCGAGGCTGTCCTGCACTGCCAATGTCGTAGGGTGAACGTGGTCGTCATGAAGAGAGAGAGAGAGAGAGGCGTGGGGATACCACGTGGCATTGCGCCATTGGCGTCTACTCCTGCAAACCTAAGGTTGTCGAAGGAGGAGGAGAACACAGACTCCGGGCTCTGCATGCTGCCTTCAGTGCGGAGGCGGGTGGACATGGACATCGGGTCACACATGGAGGTTCGTGGTGGTGTGCATGTTTTGCACAACGAGACGATGCGCCACCGCCGGCTGAGCCGACTACAACATCTAAAGGGAGGGGACACATGCCAACACAAGGGAGAGGACAAAGCGGCGGGCGAGGGAGGGGGGGGCCAAGGAAGGCCCCAGGCAGGCCTGATCGAACGGAGGACGTTGATATATATATATATATATATATATATATTTTAAGAGAAAACTATGGCGCAGTCAGGGTTACAGTTTGTAAATGCATCTCAAACTGCGTTTTAGCGATTTAGTAAGGCCCCGAGTTTCAAATGCAGTTGAAACTCGGGCTAGCGTTTTCTAGCAGTTCGGTCAGGCATATGGCCATTTTTTTTTTTGTTTTTTTGTTTGTTTGTTTTTTTTCCGTGCGGCGCGCCGAGCTGCACCGCGGCTGGAAAAAAAAAACAAAAAAAAAAACGGCCCCATGGTTGGGCCATGGCCGAGATGTCTCGGCCACACCCCAGACTGGCCACGACCGAGATCTCTCGGCCACACCCCAGATGGGCCACGGCTGAGATGTCTCGGCCACAGCTGAGATTAAACCACCCCTACCTTTCACAGGCAAACGCAAACTCTCAAAAGTAGGACTCGTGCCAGGGATGGAGGCCCAAAAAAAAAAGGAAAAGAAAAAGTTGAAAAAAAAAGAAAAGAAGCGAGGAGCTCTCCCCACGAAGTTACACAAGTCCTTTGAGGAATGTATCTGGTTGGTTTGAAGAGAAACTTCATAAATCTCGTCAAGCATCAAGAAGATAGCATTTCGTCAACACATAAAGAAACCGACTGTAGACCAAGGTAAGAGAGAGAAGAGAGAGAGCGAGAGAGAGAGA